CCCCCCCACCAGAGGGATGAATCATTTGACCAAACCTAAAGCAGGCGAATTCTCACCAAATAATGGTTCATGGTCTCTAACCTATATGGGTATTTGTCTCGATCAGGGCGAAATATGCTGATGACAGATGTCAGGGGAGGTTCCGGTCTTTGAGCTCCAGGCATCACCAATGGGTAAGTGAGTAATTAGGTCAAGCCCAGAGCAAATATAATCGCTTTATCCTACAGTAACCGAAGAGATAAAGCGATAGGGAGATTAAGCCTTGAAAAACAGCACCAAATGGTAGCTCAAGTCACACAAACCGATATTGTGAGCCAGTCCAGACAACGGAGAATCCCATTAAAACACTGCAATCAAGCCAAAGAATGTGAAAACACGTTTCTACCTGAAATGGAACAATCATAGCCACTCGTTCCGCCAAAGGTAGGTGGAGAAATATTAATGGGAAACGGTCACGAACACTTACTCCTCTACTACTGGTATGGGGATAATCTGACAAAACAGCAAATCTTAGCCACAAAAATACGTGTTTAGGTGAATTATCAAGAACACGTTAGCCGTAGAGCGGCTCGAGTGATCCCACTCAAGCCCCAAACTAGTGCCGCCAAACAACAATTGAAATGACCACGGAGGCAAAAGGAAAGACAAGAAAACAAAGTGTGTAGACATGTGAGAACACGCAGAAATATGAAGTCCAGCTTTAAACCGCTGCTAAGTTTTTTTAAGTCAATTTAAGCATTGCTTTCCCCAAAAGTATGCTGAGAACACTTTTTCAAGAAAGTGAACTTGGATACACAATTCTACATAACCATGAAAAGTCGAAGAAATGCCCTATTCTAGACAACTTTGTAATATTTGTTTCGAGTTGGCCGGGAAAAACGGAAAACAATGCGCTAGCAATGTGCTATTAGCCCCCCAAAAGGCAGGCCATGAACACTTGGGGAAGTAAGACGAACCTGCCCGCATCAAAAACATGTGCTGGTAAATAGCCGTTGAGATGAATATGGAAAGCGATCAAAAGTAAAGTGGTGAAACGCATGAATTCTACATTGCCACTCGACAAAAGCACAAAAGAAACAAAGACACTGAAGCCTATTTGCACCTTCAAAGGCGATTCAAATTGTGCCGAGAGAATTAAGAAATTGGATGAGGCTAAAGTCAAACCAGCAACCTAGCGTATGAAGAAAATCTGACCAGACCTAGAGTCGCTACATTACCAAAACATCAATTCATAAAACTTGACTAATAGAGGTACTTGTGAATGATAATATACTAGTAGTGATGGAAGTAGAGGTAATAAAATGAATAATAATTCGATCCGAAAGCAACAGCTATTTTGAAATGATCACAGGCATAAAAATGGAGCAAAGGAAGGTCCCAGATTCTCACCTAGGAAGCAAACTTCAGCAAAAAATTTTACTAATGTATTCGAATCCGGCTCGAGTTACACGAACGAAACTTAGAAATCGGTTGAAATTACAATCACACAAAGGGGAGGAATTTACGGTTGAAAGTGGTGTGCCTATGCCTACGAACTGCAGTTGACACCTCAGTTACATATTCGGATTTGGTTATGATAAATACACACCTAAAGGATATCAACTCTTGAAATGAAGGTTGCACACGTTTGAATGTGCTGGACTCGAGGGAGCTAAAGCAACACAATTAGAACTCGCCACATGCTAGCATAAGCCTACTGAAATGATCGTAGAAGCGGAAGGGAAGCCAATCCACGGGATTCGCAGATCAAATATAAATATACAAACAATAACTTCCTCTTATAAACTCAATTCACATTTACTCTTCAAAAACGGACCTCGGTAATCAGTTGAGACAGTAAATGAGGTATCAAGCTAGGGGAGAGCGGCCTTCACGATACTAAGCTTGCAAAAGTGCCTTCAATTAAGATCACGCCATTTTATAGCTTGGTAATAAAGCAACAAAAACAGTTCCATCAAAATCCACAATCCATACTGGGGGGACCTTACAGAATTTAACACAGGATCAGATGGAAGATAAAATACCAAAATGCAAGGGCGAGACATCAACACAGATGATCAAGACAATAAATCTTGTACTCACACTCCTCCAAAACATTCCAATTGAATAAGCAGTAAACTCACTTTCTAGAGAACGCCTTTGTGCAAATCTGGCAAACATGCGGCTTCTCCATCGTATGTATAGACATAATGTGTCTCTTCAGCTTATCCTCTCGCACAAAGGACTTGCCACAGGTGTCACAGACATGCTTCGCCTCTCCCGGGGTGCGCTGTCGTGCCATCAACTGCTTGACAGATACCATAGAACTACATGTGGGGCAGGTGAGAGAAATCAAACCCTCAGCAGAAGCCCTCGCTGCAGAGGCGAGGAGGGAGGAGTGGGAACACACAGAAACCGCTGAAGTAGCAGCAGAAGTAACGGCAACGGTAGTAGAGGTGTTGGTAGCTGTAGCAACCACCACCGGGTCCGTTTTCCCAACAGGCGCAAGGCTCAGCGAGTACAACCGATCAGTACCGGTGCCTACGAGGGCAGGATCATAGGCAGCAGTCGTGCAGGGTGTCTTGTTACCCACCAGAGCACAGACGACACTGTCAACAGCAGCTCTTGCTGCAGCTGCGTATTCTGCATCGTCACAGACAGGAGAAGTAGAGGTGGACTCGGGTTCACGTTTCGTTAAGGTGGCAGGAGGTGGGAGAACTGGAAGGGAGGCGGGAGGAGAGACAGTGGAAGGAGTGTCATGATCTAGAGACTTTTCTGGTGAGTTACGAGGATGGAGAGAAGTGATGGGTGTGGGGGTTGAAAGTTCTTTGTGAAGGGAGTTGGGGGATTTGGGCATATCGTCACATTTGGGAGAGATCGGCGGAGGAAGTTGTGGAAGACCGAATTGAGGAGGAAATTCAGGTGGAGGCTGTTTGTCACCATTTGCGATGGAGGGACTTAGTGATACCTCGGGTGTAATCATGCTTCCATCGACCCGGTCTTCAACTTTAAGACGAGATGCAATTATTGCACCAACGTTTTCAGGAAGAGTTCGTTGATTATCCTTATTGCCTGAGAGGATGGGGGGAGTGACTAGACCAGAGGGTGAAGTTACATTGTTTTCGGAGGTAGAGGGACCATTTAAAAAGCTGTCTGGCACATCGCCTATACGCTCAGTAGCGCTGACGACGCTACTGGAATGAAAAAGTGCATCGATATCATTTTCAGGTTTTGAATTGGGGTGAAAGGAGGGGGACGGATTGTCGATCACTTTGTCAATGTATGGCTTTTGGTCGATACCATGATAGTTTATCATTGACTGATGGTGATGTTCACCCGCGATGTTTAGGTTATCAGTGTAATTCACACAAAAGTCGGTAGATACTGAAGTATTTGACGACGGGAGCTCCAAGAAACCTGGTTTGATCATGATTTGCGAATGAAAAGTGTGTATGATTCCACCATTATTGGTGTACCCTAAGACAGTCAGCAGTGAGAAAAGCGATACATAGTAAGACGAGCAATGAATAGGTCACAACATTGCGAGAAACTTGTCACCTAATCATAAAAGTTATCTCCTGAGCTGGGTAACGACCATTTTAAGAACAGAACCAGTCCCAATAAAAAACACGTTAAATGGTAAATATAACCGACAACTAGCGGGAAGTATTTGAATTCTGTCTATGGTAATAAACGTCGGCAGATGAGTCACATAAGCCACACAACTTCAGCTGTATCCAAAAAAATTACTAAACACGAGTGGGAACATCAAAAGAACTAGAAATGCGCCAGGACGAAAGATTGTGCAAAACTAGACGTATATAAGTGGACTGTAAAAAAATATGAAGGCACAGGCTAAACATCTCCCAACTAACACAGAAAAATCAAATCTGAGCGACATACCCGGCGCCCTTCACCCAAGACAGCTTCAAATACCCGCAATTAAGGTAGACGTACAAAACTACTTTAACGATCCAAATAAATTTGCTTTTAGAAAAGCTATTATGCGTTAGAGAATTAATTTTTTAGGATCGAAAATTTTTAGTGCTAAAGTACAGGTGAAATTGCGACCGAAAGACCTATAACTTTCTTGTTTGCTTTTTACTTGAAATAAAGATGAGTTAAACCACTTGGTGGCGGTTTCGCAAACTAGTTTTGCAGACGGTCTTCCCAGTTTTTATGGTCTTAAGCAGTTGGCGCGCTTGCGTGAAATACGGCTTTAAAGTAGTTTTCAAACCCAAAACCAGATTCCATCAATGGGCAAATTAATTTGATGCAATCTCTACAATATTCACTTAAGTGCCATTTTATTTTAATAATGTTTGTGAGAGTCGTTTTCCCTATGTGTGCGCATTTAGCGGAACGTACGGTTGCTCTTGGCCTAGTTTGTGAAGTGGCTATCTTCACGTGAAGCTATACCTAAGATAAATATAGTTTAGGAATTTACCGATCTGTTAGTGTTGTTTGTTATCCGGAAAGCAGTAATATCTGATTCTGTTTCTAGTGATTTGCTCTCCTGATTGTTTGTAGGTTTATAAATTACTGCATTGTAGAGCGTCAAATACGGCGATCTTGTAATCACGCCTTGTTTTTCACTGATGAATTAACGGTTCTTTTTGGCTTCATACCAATCCACTTGTCATTGGCTTGGTATAGATCTGGTTTTTAGTCACCCCCACGTTGCTTCTCTATTACAGCCGAGGTGTTATACGCCTGAACATCACTGTCTACTTTTTAAAGCAATGCTGAAGCTCATTGAATCGCAGCTCGGTGTTAGGGTTTCGATGCAGTATTTGGAGGAGCACAACATTCCAGAATCAGATGTGAGTTTTTTTCATTATTACCCGTCTTCTCATTTGCCTTGTTTAGTTTACTAGAAATTTCAGTTTATTTCTTTGCTTTTAATTATTCCTACCTTTAGGTTTAATGTACGAATTGCACGTGGTGTCTCAATATCATTTAAACTTGTAACTTTTAACGGTCAAAGTTCGATTATACGAACCCAACTTCATTGTCCTAAATAATTTTTATTTATCATAATTTCAGCGTATAGTTGCACCACACCATCGACAGCTGCACGACCTTACTAACATTACACATCTAAGTGGAGATGCCTCGCTATCTCAATCCGTTCAATTTGGCGGCAATCCGCTAGCTCTCGATGAAATCTGCAACCTCTCTATTATTGATGAGCAACTGAGCTCGCGTCGAGTTGCATCATCCTCTCGCTTCTTCAATTACTCTCAGTACAAATGTCTCAGACCGGATGAACTTGCGTGCGTTCCATTGCATCTACTGTTCCCCCTATTTGCAGGTCTCTTTAATCTTCTGAGTGAATTGAAGCACGTTTGCACGATTAGTTTATCCCTCTTTATTCATCTTAAAGTGATTTCATTCTGTGATAAAAAGCAGTACCTATAGCTTTTTCAATTCTGTGGAGGTGCGATCGTCATGCTCAGTGTTTTCATGCTGCTCCCCTTATGACTTGACCAGTCGCTTATGTTATTATCACTAAAGTTTGATTTAGTCCAGTATTGTCGGCAAACTACTTTGTGCACTTTTTCTATGCTATTTTAGGATATTGATGTTGTTATTATGCCTATAACGCAGCAAATCTCTATCTCCCCCAAATTCCTTTATCATTAAGCAGATAAGGATTTTGTGAATAATATAAAGCCCGATTTTTCTCTGAAAGCACTCCGAGGCATACGAGTTTAGAAGCGTCTTTACTGTAACTTCACGAAGGCGCTCAAAAACCGCCAGTATAGGTGACATGGAGAGACTTCCACGTCGTCGGCGTGGAGGGTTGTTAAAACCCGCGTAATAACGTTCGTCATTGAGCTGAGTGTTAATCACATAGAAAATCCTAACACCAGAGAATTGAATCTTTGACTTAAGTCGCATTTAAGCCGTCAACAAATGTAGACAACTATTGGATCGAGATTGTGCCAGCATTTGATGTCTCCAGAATATGAGTATCATGGTAGACCTCTGTGTCACCGGGTTGAAATACTATAGGCTTTACTTTGTTCGGATAACCAATCCATATTCGGTGGATTTTCAGTCGTGTTTGCTGATTTTGTATCTATCTGACTCAGGCACCGTCTAAATAAACTCATTTCGTCCCCATTGCTCTCCTAGGAAGGCGTTTTCAACTTTCGGTGAAGGGGTTCTCTTTCTAGTCGGCGGAGCAGCGAATGATGCACCTCAGCTGGTAGCTCTGCTTCCGGGCACCTCTGCTATGACCCGCCGAGTTTTACGGGTCTTCACCATTCAAAGTTAGCCTTAAATTTACTACTTAAGTCAATATTTAAATAATTAAGTACATTTTCACCATCGATGGCCACTTTCAGTAGCTGTATTAAGCGACCGTAAGTTAACTTGGTTGAATGAGATGAACCTAACAATTATTACTGTAGTATTCTTTTCGGTGTGAATTTACTACCGTGATTTCTATTCTCAATGGCAATGATATGGTACTATGCATCTACTCTCCTTCAGGTCCCGACATGAAACTGAAGCTTGGCCAGCTAGAGGCGCGTTTCATGCCCTTTTCTCGAGAGGTTAGGATTGCCTACGAAGCAAACTACATCCTCCCTTTCACCCTCCTTCATGTCAACTTTGACGAACCCACTGGGGGCTTGCTCTCGCATCCCAGCAGCACCACCCCTGCCCATCTGGTAATGCTTATATTGCTTATCCGAGCAAAAGCTGAATTTGGAAGATATTAAATTCCTGCATCTGAGGTTTGACACAACATATTCTAGCACATTTGAGGCTTTGCTGTGGTGGTTCCCTTGAGTGAAAACGAACGAAGGAGTTAATAGATTCTAAGCTCATGGTTCAATGGTTATGTTGTGCCTTGGATTCGCACTTCTGATGCCATAATCCAAGCGATCAGAGACTTATTCTATGGCACAGTAGATGCACCATTTAGCCTAAAGGCTAACAGACCCCTTGTGTTGTTCTACCCAGATGACGCAAGTGTCGCCCTATTCCACCACTCACTCTCCTCTAGCTTCGATCAAGGCCGATGTGGATCGCATCAAACGTCTCTCCCTGGCCTATCAGAACGAAGGCACGTGGATTCCTTTGGGAGATCTAGGCCCCGCATCCTCGTCTGCATCCGCACTGGAACAAGTGATCTCCAGCCAGCTGCGCAAATGTAATAGTACTGAGCCTTCACTCTTCCTAATTCGGTCTTACTCAGCCATCAAATACTCCTCATCCTCATTTGCTCTAGCCCAGCAGGAAATAGTCACGCCGTTGGGTCAACGCCTGATCAGGGAGTTAGACTCCACGGAGCGGATGTGGGAGGCGTTGAAAGATGCACCCAACCGTAGAACTGCCCGTGAGGGCTTCTTGGTGGCGCTGCGACTTCTTCAGGAGAAGGCAGATCTTCTTTCGGTGAGTGTTTTGCCGTAGGGGGGTTTCCTGTGTTCTGGAGCTCGATCTGTTAATGCTCCTTCTCTGTAATGATACTAGGCCGTTGTGCCAACTCATTTGTGCTTTTAAGTGCCTTGTATTGTGCCATGGCTAATACCGATCGGTGATATGCACTTCCTCTTCCGTAGGAAAGTCTAGAAGTCTTTTTAATGAATTTTGTAGATACCTAGTTATTTAAATATCTACTATCTATGGTGATGCCTACTAAGATGGATTCACTGCTTTGAATTGTACAGCTCGTTGAAAGGCGAGTTTGTCAAAATTACTGCATACACGTTGGTGTAGAATTCGCTGACGCCAGTCGTTGATACGCGTTTCCTCCTCTGTAGGTGAGTTTGTCGGATTTCACGCGGTTTGCGAAGCTGGCACGCTCTAGCGCAGCGGCGGGGCGAGGTGAAACGCTGGGCAACTTCGAGGTCCTTGGTCTGCGCATGCTCATCGAGGCGGGTGTCTTCAAGGCCACCAACGACTGTCTCGCTGTCATCAGCGCTGGTATGTCTCCGTGCGAAATTTTACTGAAATATTTTAAGTAGGTAGCAAATTGCAAGGCTCGTTTATGTTAATGCCAGTTTTTTTGTTCTGAGTCGATTTCTCGCTGTTATGCGTGCTGATAAGTCTCCTCCATCCCTCCCATATTGATATGACATAAGTAGAGACCGGGCAGTGGTTTGGACTGGATTTCACTTGAATAATTAGTAAAATGTCATTTTCCCTATCTTCACCGGTATTGTGATTCGAAGGGTTTAGAAGGTACTGTGGATTTGTTTACTTACGTAAGTGCTTTTCGCCGCCTTTTTGATAACGTCTTGTCGTTCGTACCGATAGGTCTTTTCCCTACTCTCTTCCTGAAATTATGATCTGAGTCATTTAGGTAAACTGTGAGAGTACTTTTTTCGATTTTAAGCTTAATGTCTTGACCTCATTCATGTTATTGAGCCTTTTCTCCTTTCTTTCCACTTGGCTGGAATGCGATCAAGGTATTGCCTCTTTACTTGGTTTAACAGACTGATTGTGAGGTCACTTAGGTACTGGCAAATCGTGCAAAAACTGATTTCATGCTTAGTTGTTACGTGTGTCGGTTCTTTACCTCCCTCATTCCTTTCCCTACTTCTCCATTCACTGAAACGGATATATCACTAGCTCTTGATAATGTGAAGTATAAATCCTTAAACTTTTTTTTGACAGACAAAAGGGTTACAATGTTAGTAACGGGCTCCGTATTACCAGTGATGTAGCGAAATTGTGGAAGACTAGAAAGGCCTGCCCGGGAATATTGCCAGTTAAAATAGTTATCTTTCTACCGCATAGCTCCCTTGTTATGTCTTGAATGTCGTTCCTGGAGGCTTCCTTGTCCACTCTTCTGCTTTGGTTTTTACAAATCCTCCACTGTCCTGTAGTCAACCCCAGTACATGAGCGAAGACAATGTAATGAATGTTCCTTATTATTGTCAGTGCAGTAGTGCATACCTTTCCATCTTTCAACAGTGTCGCCACCTTTGGAACGTAGCTTTTCATCGGCTAATCTGACAGCGGAGACGGATTTTGAAACGCGTCTACGTCTGCTGCATCACCTCTATCGCGTTTCCTGTCTGGTCGTCGCCCTTGCTACCGTTGCTCAGAATGCCCTCGTTGAAAAAGAGATCGGGTCAGTTTAATTCCCCACCTTTCTACCTACCTGTTGATCCATTCATCGCATATCCATTCCATATCCATTTACTGATGTATTCATCTACGTAACAACCTTCTATTTTATAAAAAATACGGCACTGTAATAAAAGTGCAATTGCGCTTGTTTCACACGTCTCGGTTCTCAATGTTTGGCGGAATCCTTCTTACTGAAAATAGTCCTGTTGTTTGGTCAGCGTGTGTTTTGTTTATGACTTACCACCTTAAGTCGGAGTAGCTGATTGTAAGGAAGCTGGGCAATAACTTGTTTAATTTGCCTACTACAGGATCAGTGGGTAGAACCAACAATTTCATTGTTTTCTTTTTTGCTTATGTGATCTGTAGGCCCTTGCTTTTCGATACGAAGAGCTCGGAGGCCGAATTCGCCACTTTCATGAAGGTGGAGGAGGTGGAGATGAACAAAGTCTTTACTCACACCTGTACCACTGCTCTTAAAAATCTCACTGCACAGCTAGCCGAGTGAGTCTTCCCCTCTTCAAGATAGGTGTCAATTTGGCGCCAGGTTTGGGTTCATTCAAGACCAATCCCTCTCTCTTACGATGGTTTGTCGTCAACTTAATGGGAGTTTTTACTTAAAGTGGTTGTGAATTCTGCGCTTGCTCAGTTAATTTTCTGGTAGGTGGTTTACAAATAATTATATCTAATCGTCTAAAAAAACACTCTGATACTACTTATTCGTTGGGTGAGTAGTACATGATAATCGAGTAAGGCACTCTAATTACCGAGGAGAAGACAAAATCCTCAAAACGTATTTTAATAGAAAAAGTGAGGAGCTTTATAACGAGTTACGATTACTGTTGTAAATTGACTCTTGATAACTTTTTATTCCTCTTGTAACAACCTTTAGTTTCACCCCGGACTTGTGGATAATGCGGATGTCCACAATGGAACCGATGCAAATTGAAAAGCGACTTGTCTATGAATGCATCAATTCAGGTGGTGGTAAGCGTCTTTGACATCTTACGAATCACTACTTCGACTTCTAAGACTTATTCCTGTCCAGCTGTGTTAATAATGGTGCCTCATTTTAGGCTGGTGAGTTTAAGGGAGACACAGGTCTCAAAATCTGTTTTTCCCAAGTTGAAGGGCAACCCGGTCTCTCTGTAAAAGTAAAGAATATTTCTATTCGCTTTACCCAATTAGTCTACTTGAATTTTAGTGGCTCCGACCTTCCATTGTCACGTATTGGAGCTCATCGATACACTCTGGTTCAATGACGCTTGAGTAGTCCATTCACTATCATTTTACTTATTCCATGATGTGTTTTATTTTTCATAATAATAGCAAGATCTCTGCTATAATTTGATGTCTCTTGGAAGTATTGCGGTTTCATTGTAAAATGCCCGTTTGACTGTCACACTTGTCGAAGGTTACGATTGTAGATAATTTGACTACCGATATTTCGGAGGAAACTACCGTGAACAGCCGAACAGTCATCCGCATGCAAACCATCAACGTGGCTCGTCTTTTTTTATTAACTCCCCCTAAGATTGTTTTATTCGTGATGGTTTGTATTGAAAGATAACGACACAGTGGTGGTGATTAATTATGATGTGATGTTATCAGTAAGGCTGTCTTGCCAGCCTTCCTTCCTTCGCGTCTCCCATGTGGGGGAACAACAAATCAGCCTTGTTTCACTTCCGATTCTCGTAATGCCTCGGGAGTCACACTGCGCCTTTCCTCTTCCTTTAAATGCGATAACATCTCTGAAATTAATGACAGTTTGGTATTGATATGTCAAATAAACATGTGACCGAAAGGTAGAGAAAAGTGGGACATACGTTGGATTAGTTCTTCATCTCCTGTTTGGCTGATAGATTGGCCGAACTATAGATCTCATTGAAGTCCTCGCTGTTCGAACTCAGGGAACCTAAACAAAAAACCAGCTGGAGTCACTGGCCCCTCTACGACTTTCTGCGGTCTTGGAATCATCGCTGGGTAGATCAGACCAGATTGTGTCCTATTAGTGGCTCCGGTGATGATTGGTGGTTTCGGGCAGAATGTCCCGCGGCTGTCCGGTAAAGTAGTGTTAACCTCTGCAAGATGTCCTCTTGAATGTGTCGGCAGACCTCTTTACATGTTTGTTGATTGAGGGTGATAGACTAAGGAGCGAATGTGAGCAATGACATACCGATAGCAGTCTATTATTCCAACATCTCGGCCCTAGCGGTGCGCGACACCCCTTTATGGTATATCTCTCCCCTTTGCCTCCTCTCCCTCATACTTCAAATGCGTTCACTATACAGACATGCACAAGTTGGTTTATTTTCCTTTCCCAAAGTGATAAATAAAAAAGCAGATGAGGAATGTTCATCCACCGGTCATTTATTTGGGTGTCCGCCTCACTGCGCCATTGGTCAGACTCTCCACATTATACCCCACCGTTGTCATAACAAAGGGATTGGCCTGATATGACGAGGAGGCGCCGCCGGGCGAGGAAGCCGGGGCGGCGTTGGTGTAGCCTCCATGCGGCTGGGACAGGTAGGCTTCTGCTCCCTCGTAGCAAGTCACTGACACCGACCCTCCCCCACTGTGGTGTTGTTGGTGGTTGTGATTGTGATGCACTTCTGGAAAGAAACAGGCAGCGGCAGCAGCTGCAGCCCGCGCAGCGAGAAACTGTTGTGACGTAGGGTAGCCCGTAGCAGTGGAATGTTGGTGATGGCGTTTGGCTCCACAATCCTCAAAATCTCGAACGGTTTGGAGCGATGGTGGTGGTAGAGGTGGAGAGGGTTCATGAGGTCGTTTGGAGTTGTTCTTTCGTTGCTGCTGCTGCTGTTGTTGTTGGTTTTCGTTTGGATTAGACTCGCGAGGAAAGCAGAGGGAGCCTTCGGTGCCTCTGAAGGTGGAGAGACCGAGGGAGACGGCGGAAGCAGCGTTGGCGGCGGCGGTAGTGGTAGCGTCGCAAGTGGACGGTTGAATGGCTTGAGCCAGACCGGTGAAATCAAATTTGTAGGCGTAGCGCTTTCCATGAACCTGAAGAAAAAGGATAATTATAAAGATGTGACATTCATACATGGGGTAACCTTTTGGCGATATTGATTTATCAGCTACCATGGCGGTGCTTGACAAAAAGGGGACGTTTCTACGAAGGGAATCTAGTTGTGCATTTACTGTCTGATTAGACTTATGTTTGTAACTTTTTACTAGGAAATTCTTTAATTGATGAGTTCTCCGCCAATTCTCTTTACAATCGAAAGACTTTATTCCCAGTTGGATCAAATATGGGCACCCGATGTTGGTTCAGATTCCATTTGAAGCTACTTGAACTAATTGCGACTCAGCGACTCCAATGTTTTATTCGCGCACGCCAATAAGGAAAGGGGGTAATAAGTAGTTAGCCGTTGTTAATTTTTATAACTACAATACTTTGCAAAGCTTACTTGTGAAACGGAATTGGGGTAAATTTAAAACCACCGTTTAGCCAATCACCTGAGCAGGTAACAAGTCCAGTGCTTGCTGCTTCCGGTTAACTGGCCAATCAGCATAGAGAGAAGGGCAGGTGGCGCGGATTTGTTAACCAATGAACGTCTGGCAGTGCATCTGGGTCGTTTTACTTAGCATTGTTTCTATGTAGTTAATATTTTTCTTAAAAGAATGCAAAAGCGAATTACATTATCTCTGTTTTGAAGCAAACTAGACCCTTTTGGGCATAGTATTATTAGAGTTTAGCAGAAATGACCAAATGCAATGGTTTTGTGAGATTTTAAAATTCATCAATCTTTGATAATAGGAACAACGCACAAACTAGCCAGAAACTCAGAAAATTACGGTTAAAAGTATGATCGAGATAAATAAAGAGCTTTCTGGGGCTAGCAAAGACTTATCTAAGGCAATTTGTTAGGGCACTGGTGAATTGTGTACTCGTAACCACAGTTCTGAGAACATAAGGGTTGAGGAAGACACGCGTTGAGTAGGCTCAAGAAAGAATGGGGAAACTTTAACTGTGTAACAGGGCATTAACATTTATGAAATACATGCAAGTGCACAACAAAATCAGTTTAAATGGTTTTATTTTGGTCACTTTTCTTATTTCTTGGGCTTTAACAGCGTGAGTACAAATACTTCCAACATTGCTCAATATAGCATGTTTTACAAATGGCAATAATTCAGTAGCTCCATTTTAGGTACCAGTCATTAAAGTCAGAAAGATTTTTAAATATCTAAACTGCCTATTGCTCAATAATTTGTGAATCTATCCGTGAATCAAATAATGTACGATACTGAAAACAATGTGGGGTACAGAAGACAGGAGAACTGCCACACCAAACCAATTTTCCGTTTGTGGGCCAAAGAATGAAGCTGCTCATTTTGCAAGCAATGGTGTTGTCAATCATTTAAATTGTAACATGGTAGTATCATACACCGGGAAAAGTTCCATAGTTGCGTATGGTATCGAATGGAGAAGGCTCACCTTGCTCATGATATTCTTATCGTAGTAGTAGCGGAGGGCACGACTCAGCTTGTCGTAATTCATGTTGGGCTTCGATTTGCGTTCACCCCATCGACGCGCCACGTCGTCGGGATTGACGAGCTTAAACTCGCCATTGGTGCCCTCCCACGTAATACAGGCCAAGTTGCGACTATCCGCCAACAACTCCAACAGAAACTGCCACAGCTGAATCTGTCCTGAGCCTGCAATGCGAATTGATGTCTACTTCAAGCATAGGACCTTCCAGTCACGCACGATTAAATATCTACGATGGTTTTATGCTGTTCTACTTAGTCTATAACAGCAGACTCTCAGGCGACCTTTACGTCAAAAATGAAGGTGATACCAAAGTCGTTTGAAGTATAACGCCTTAAACGGATTGCTCAGGTGCTACAGTCGAAACATCAGGAGAAGAAAATCAGTTTCTATTCATCGGAGGCAAATTTCAAAGGGAGTTCCTAGTGTCTTAGGCATTCTGCCGAACCAATTTTGCATGTTTCCGTTTCAACCAATTGCACCAGGATCTCTCTGGATACCAGCACCACTACCCAAATGCCCGCTGTCTCATGACTATGACCATCACGGTCGCTGCTGTACATAAAGGCAGGACACATGCGAAGAACCGGGCACCAGGAGCTTCCGAAATGCCTGCCTACTCCTGTGGGTGCCCTTTGTGTGCGCATGTTGAGAAGAGCGGGAAAGAAGCTGGTGAGTACCAGCACACTTTTTAGTCAAAATGCATCATGGCTTCCGGGTGGATGAGCAGACGGAGTGAGGAGGGGAGAGGAGGTGGATGGGTAGAGGAGCTTTCATGCCCACGTGTACTCCCTCCCCTCCTCCTCATGTGCAGCAGGCGGACGCGCGGTATTGGGGTGGCAAGATTTGTAACAATGGTAAATCACGGTTGCTCCCCTCTCCCCTTCCTCCCAACATTCCACTGTCTATTCACCACCATGCCAGGAAATGACTCGATAGGGCGTGAGTGGAAAACGGGGATTACCCACATATTACGGTTTGCCTGCTTGTGGGAAAGTGAGGCCACTGCTACCGTATCACTGCCTTATTGACGTAAAAGGGTTTTTTACACCTCTACAGCATTCACTGAGATTCTGCGTTTAATTCCCACATTTCTCTGTAAAATTGTGGGAATGAACTTTGCGGCTTTATGCGGTTTTGGTGTAGGTACTGACAGGGTAAAAATATGCGTTTTAACTGGACAAAATCAAGAAGATTGTTGGACTTTAATGGGCAATAATTGGCATTTTTAACACTCAGAAGTTTGTTCGAACCCCTAATCGTTTATTCTGATTAAGCGCTGAAAGCTGTCTCAATGAAATAAGGTAGCTTCTGTAAAACCGATTTTATGCAATGTTTACGTAGTGAAAGGCTGTGAAAAAAGCCTCCAATATCACTCTGAGTGAGAGATCATAAGTTGCTTCTTTCGTAAGATCCTTATTTTTAAATAAATAAAAAAATATGCATCACATCAACCACCTTTTGACTGTAAATCAACTCACCTTGAGGCCTCCACTGAACCGTCGGTGATCCCTGTGACAACCTAGTTGAGTTTGAAGAAGATTGTGGCGGTAGTGGTGGTGGCTGAGGCGGTGGCGACCTATATACCTTACTCCTCTCTCCTCCTCCTTCAGTACTCCCCTCTATCCTTCCCACAGCCCCGTGGGGTCGCATTCGTCTCGCTCTTGTAGTATAGAACATTGAGGGCTGTGATGGTCCCCCAGTTCTTCCATAGTGGTAAGCAGTGCCTGACCAAACTCCCTGATGATGGTAGGCGCTAGTCGAACTGGAAGTGGAGACAGCACCAGAGGAGGTGGAGTACCCATAAGAAGGGAAGCCAGTAAAGTGGTATGCAGGTGACGCCTCGAAGTGATAACCTCCGCTATTCTGATAGAGGTCTGTCTCACCCCAGTACACCCCACTAGTAGTAGTATTCTGCTGCCGAATCAGACTGGAATAAGCGCTGCTACGTGGGTCCTGCTCGTAGCATAAAATCCCATCTGAGGTGGACGAGTAGGAGGTGGATGAGGGGTATGCCCCGCTAGCGAATTCCGATTGTGATGCGAAGTACTCAGTGCCCATGGGGAAAGAATATTTTCCCCTTTGATCAGTATTAATTGCGGTTGTGATATTTCCGACACTAGAGGTTGTGATAGGAGGAGGCAAGGAGGAATACCTAAGGCCCTCATCTATACTAGAGTGTCCTGATCCCTCCTGAAAATAAGAATAGAAGTTCTCCCATTAAAATACGATATTAATCGCTTTTGATGAAATTCACAGTGCGCAATCTCTCACCATGGTGGGTATGTGCTGGTTTCCGTTCCGCGCTTGTGATAGGATTGTCGTATGCAAGCAGAAGCAGAAACGGGATTTCCTGTTCTCAATCTCTCTGCCTATTTTGCTATTTCTCTCGATGTCGGCTGCTGTGAAGGGACGGAAGGAAGTGCACGAACTGGGATTTATTTCAGGCAACAGGAGATCAAGATCTTCGGGATGTCGTGCACCCACTTCCTCTCTCTCTCTCTTTCTGTGTGCAACTCAGCGGAACAGGATTTCCGGACAGATCTTGGCAATCCGTCGAGTAATAATGCTCCGGTAGTAGCAGTAACAGCAGCAGTTAGCAGAGGGAGCAACTACAATACTGTGAATTCAAGCACTGGTAGCAGTGGCTGCCCGTTCTGTTACGGAAGGAAATGGGTGAAATTAGGTCCGACCGCGCAGTGTAGAGCTTGCAGAACGTAGAGTGAACTAGTGCTACTGCTGCTGTCAGCTAGTGTCCGGTTGAGATTAATTTTACATCCCTGTTGCCCTCACGCACACACGCACACACTCACTTGCGCTGGTCTTCCTGTCTTTCAGGAAATACGAATGGCTGAACAGAGAGAAGGAAGGGAGTGGAGGGGAGACTCAATGTCTCCTCCCCTCCCTATTTCCGCTGCTTCTACTACAGAGAGTGCCGATGCTGCCTACCCCCTCCTCTCTGTCCGCACGCGTTTCCTGTTTGAGGCTACCTGCACCCCATTGGTCGATGGTTGTGGGTACGCGCAAGATGCCGTTCTCTGCTCATTCGCTTAAATAGGCAATACCGAATTAGCACTTGTTGTTGAGACAAATAAAATTGAAAAATGTCACTTAATGACTAATTTAAGGTCAGGATATGAATGTGCCTTGTTTTATTTAAGATTTTTTGGTCTATAACCCACTTTCGAGTAGTTTTACAAAGGCCACAGCGAAATAAGTGTTTGAAAATAAATTATCTCTCTACCCACTTGAATAAATTAACCATTTATTAAGGCAAGGGTGAACAAGTAAACAGAGGGGCTGGAGCACTAAGAGGGTGCCTGATGCCGCCTTTAAAATGTGATAGGTCCAGAAAGCTGAGTAATTTCAAAACCTATGAGGCATTTCTCTTTCCTTCATAATCTCCATGCATTTTTCATGTTTTCGATAAGTATGTGGCATTATCTTTTTAATTTAATCTTTTTTCTTGTGGCTGCAGTCCTATATAGCATTAAAACTTTTATTTTGTTGCTAGGTGCGGTAAAGATTCGATAGAAGAACGGATCAAGCAGGAGATGCTCCAAAATAAACGTCTCAAAATGTTTTCAAATATGTGGATTCAAACTCCTTTGAGGTTATCTTCAGCATTAGTATTTCATGTCTCAACTTTCCAATTTGGAGAAAAAAACCTAAATTAACGGAATTTACTTCGTGGAAAACACTAATTCAATTAAATCGTCGACTATAGAATCTCTTTTCAGGCAAAGCGTTGCTATAACTACCATAAGACTCGCGTGTGAAATAGACTTCCGTTTCCAGGTCTGGTGCTTCAACTCTCCATGCAATTCTCCATGGAAGCGAAAGGCCTAATTAACTTTCATAGCACGAATTATAAGTTAGGGAATTGTGGATTATTAGCTGAAGAAGGAATGTTGCATCTCCAGAGCCCTCATTCTCTAGTCAAATTCCAAATTGCATCAAGGATTTTTAATTGAACCAGAGGAACTTTTTACTAACCAGTACCATAGTATTTTAAAATCGTTGGGCCACAGAAGACATTGGGCCTTTGCTGGACCCAAGTGCTTATAATGATGGCTAAACCTCCAAGTTGCGTGCTTTATTGAATGTAGCCCATGGGTGCAGAGCTGTCGGTATTGCGAACCTCTTTGACTGAGAAGATGCCATTGACTTCGAAAAAGGGAAGCTCATTCCTAATCCATATAAAGTAAATTCCCTGTGACATTTTGTAATACCCATCCCATAAGAGACGCCCTCCTCCGGCCAATCAGTTTGTTCCAAGTGAACGAAGGCAGCGGTAGAAGCGAGGAACATTGAGTCCATTACAAATGTTTCCCAAAGCAAAAATTCTGCTCAATAATGCTTTCACCTGCATATGCCAGCAAATTTTGGTGGTTTTCAATTAACCTATAAAAAATGCAAACCTATTTCAACAAGACAAGATTAATTAAACTGCCATCTTCAGTTGTCCTTTCATTGGAATGGCAATTGACACATTTTATCGTTAAAAAGTCGTATTGCTTTAATAGGGCAACTAACCTTTTCAGCAAGTAGATTTTTAGTACAAATCGAGGTAAATAATGAATACCTAGTAAAGGAGAATTAGGAAGAGTTGACAAATTTTCTAACAGAAATTCACAGGATCTTTTCAACTAAGCGATGTGGCATGCTTTAAAGAGAGCCAATTCCTTAGAGAATGCGTTTATGGGAAAGATGTCTCATGCAACTCATCCAGTAGAAACAACAAATTGCTTTCTACCGACGAAAACAATGAAGGGGAGATATGAGACCCAAGTGAGATTAAGGGGATATAAGCCTCAGATGAGGCCGTAGAGTAGTCTTTCCCTGATTCCCATCCACAAATTGAACGGCAGAAACACTTACTCGAGGTTTCAAGTTGCACAGCCTAGACGAATTTCAATGACAACTAACTAGTGAAGAGGATGAATTACGGGTGCAATAATGGAGCTGATAAGCTTGGGTGATGAAATCCTAAGTAATTATTCTATACAATAGTGAGAATAGCTGATTGATTCTATCCAAAAGGAAAGTTGTAGACCAGGCCTGAAGGAAAAGCTCTAGCACTAACACTTTTTGAAAAACGAACTAAAAATGCAATACGTCACTTCCACAAAATTTCGCAAATCCTCGAAAACCCAGGACAAAGTAAGCTTTAAAAGATACAGATGAAGAAAAAAAATTGCCCCATACTACTGATATAATTGCGGCCACTATCCAGCCGCTCTAAATGAATGGGATGCTACTTCCCAGCTGCAATACTTAAATTGTTTGTTTAACTCTACGTTTTGGTGACGCGCCAATTGAGGCTCCTCTACCGTACGTCCATCTGGCGGCCCAAACTTTAGACCAGGCCAATAGCCTGAGCCCCTTCTGTTTGTCGGATATAAATATTCTACCCGAGCATAAGGCAATCTTTCGCCTTCAGGAAAGTTCTGAGGCTCTAGATTGGTGGCAGCTGAAAGCAAATTCTCCCTTGAAGGACAACTATCCTGATTTCTACTGCTGGGTGATCAACTCTAGTGGGGCAGAAGAAGCGCATTTGCTACGGATGGGAGAGTCGGTGACGAACCCTAACAGCAGGGCTGTCAGTGACGTCTACCTTCGGCAACTATCCCAGTCCTCTATTCGGCAGGAAAGCCATCAACAACTGAGACGGCACTAGCAGTAAACCATCTGGAAAAGTTCGTAACAGAGCTATCCACGGTGCCTGTTTAATCTGCCAGTCAAGTAAACACGCCATCCCTCCTCCACCTCTCTACAAGTTGGCTATAACCCAGACAGATATAGCTAGGCGGCGCCAGATAACCGCAAAATTCTATCCTTAAGGAAATATGTTGAATTCCGTCCTTTGGTACATGGTTCTGAATATGGATGGGTGTTCCTACACCTAGCGATAGACATGCGTGAATGTTTGTGCATTCCTTCGTCCTAGAATGCAGTTTCCACACGGAACGATTCTTCAGACTTAGTCGAATTGCCAAGAGGTATTACTAACATTGCGGTCAAGTATCTTATCAGCCGCACGGTTGGCTGATGGTGTCTTTCTTAGAGCACCAATTAAGTTTTGATGGCTGACGCGAAAGATAGACAAAGGGAAGTGTCGAGGACGACGCCCAGAAGAGAAAATCGGCTAAGAAATGCTTTAATTGATTGTTTAACCACCGGTTTTGCTAACGAGCTAATTAGGACTCCGCCATTGTACCCCCGCCTGGCGACCCAACCTTCGGGTCATACCAGTAGCCCCATTCCCTTCTGTACTTCAAAAATAAACATTCTATTAGGGTAATATACCTTCCTTTGACTTCAGGGATTTATAGAGGGGCCACCCTAGCAGACGATTTATTCCTGTGGTAGCCTTGAGCATAAGCGGAGGTGAAATCTAATGACCATGCTTAAATACAATGACAAGAAATAAATCCCACTACTGCTTATCAGTCCTACCACAGTATTCCATAGGATAACCGGTCTTTTTTGTAGAGTCAGTAGTAAAAATTTAAGTATCACCAAATTCCACCACCAAGGAGCACTTTTCTAATGACTTTGGAAATAAAATAAATTCAACCTTACTGTATTTAATATCAGTAGAGGTAGATGTAATACGATAGTGGTTTATCCCTCGGTTCTGGTGAGGCGCCACTTTTGTACTTTGAATTAGCCCCCTTGTACCTCGCTGGGTGGGCTGGCCTTTTGGGCCATGCCAATAGCCCAGGCACCTTCTCCGTGCTGAATATATATGTCCTGCCCGAGTATTGTGTCTTCTTTCGTCTTCAGGGAGTCTCGGGACGCTACATGGATTATAAGCAATAAACAGATCTTGAAAAAGAATCACTGCATCAGAGCATCGGGGTTTGATGACCAGAAAACGCCTCTAATGCCACAATTTTTGAGGAGAATTTAATTCAATAAACTGTTAGCCTTATGCAACTTAAGAATTTGTACGAGTTAAAAGAACTATGAAGTAATGTATATTATTTATCGTTAATCCATGTAAGGGCACATAAAAAATGACAAAAAATGATTCAGTCAAACATGATTATGTCTGTTTTTACCAGGCTGCAGTTATCTCCTCAATATAAATGTTGGTTGCAAGTGTTTGGCATTGGTGTGATTTATAATAATACCCAAAACGAGTGGATGACTAGTTACTATGCTTAAATTAAGAGTTAAAATGGGAACATCACTTAAATGGATAGAATGACCTACATAAGGGCATTTTGTATCCATCAACGATGATGACAAAGTGGGCGATTTAACAATAAAACTATCAAAATAGAGCCTTATTAGAGTCCAGTAAATTATTTCGTCCACTTCAAGTTAAGAAACTGTGCTTTGTGCTACACCACTTCATAGGAAAAGCACAGATCCCTTCGTAGAATTGGTAAGAACTCAAGAAAAATGCAAAACAAATGTAGTATATTGTGGGGTTAAAAGTTAAGGAAAATGCAAAGTTAGAGTTTTGGAAAACAAAATTTGCAATTTTGTATCAACTTTAATTGGCCACACAGAGTGCTAAATCAGTCAATAAGGTGGAAGTTTTTATGCTGTTTTCCTAACAAGTTAGTGAACAACGGATAAACAATCTGGATACCCGAAAGAAGTATACATTCTTCCAACAAAATTTAATTACTATTATATATACTATTAGATTTGAATAATATACTTAAACAACCCACCAAAAATAAACTCTTTACCTTTTTGTGTCTATAACCTGAAGCACAATCAATTAAACCATTTAAGATCAATAATTGAGCACAACTTTAACAGAAATAAGTAACTGTTTTTAAATTGACCAATTTTTGCTTTGAATGAGTTTGTTTTGTAGGGCGTGCGCGAAAATGCCTATTTGCTCATGAGAAATGAATAGCTCGCAGTACAACTACGCTTTGCATATCCTACGAGCAAACCTTTGGTCTTCAAGTCAATGGGAACATGTTCGGATGCTTTTGTTGGCAACCACTTTTTTATTTGTTTTTTGCACGACAGAGGTTTTTTATGGCAGGTGGAAAAGCATATCAATTATTTTACCAAAACCTGCTATTTTACTCTTATTTGGGGTAACATTTGGTTACCTTTCAACAGCCTTGCAATGTGAGATGACTTTCTTTAATGAATTTTTCTTTTTTGGCGTCCTGTTCCCACCACTAGCAATCAATGCAGCACTGGAGTTCAAACCTATTGTTAAAAATGGCATTCTTCCCTCCACAGTTGTATTCGGCCTTTTGGGATCATTCTTTACTTTCTCGCTCACTGCTTTAAGTCTATGGGCAGTATATGCCTTGGGTGTCATGGGAATGCAGGAATACACCATCAAGCCCATTGCATTTATTTTGTTCTCCAGCCTCATATGTTCGACGGATCTTGCTATTGTTTTCGGCTTGTTTGGGAAACTTAAAGTCCATCCCTTTCTTTACCTCATTTTTGTTGGTGAGTCGTTAATCAACGACGGAGTTTCACTGAGTTTGTTCACAATGACAAATAACGCGGCGAGTTCTCACTTAAATTGCGTCGAAAAATTGGGAGTATTGCCATGGTTTCTGCTGATGATTCTATCATTTTCTTTGCAGTTGTGCATTTCGGCTATCATTGGGCTTCTTTTTGGCTTTTTGTCCAGCATTGTTACTAGATGGACAAAGCACGAGACAACCCTGGAACCTGTGATTGTATTTTGCCTCTGCTATACCGGTTACATAATTACCTACATTTACTCCTGGCCAAGCACCTTTTATCTCATATTTTTTTGTACAATATTGTCCTCTTTCACCTTTCGTAATGTATCCCACAAATCCGTCATCACGATCCGTCACTTTGCTCAAATGACTAGTGCAATTGCTGACTCGCTAATCTTCCTGTATGTCGGTTTTTCAATAGCGGCTCATGAACTTGTTTGGCAAACAGGTTTCATTGCCTGGACTTTACTTTTCTGTATCTTCTGGCGTTTCGTCTTCACTTTCATGGCCTCTTTCCTTACCAACTACTTCTTTTGGACTCGTCAAAGGATAACTGTTGGAATGATGTTTTTCATCTCTTACGGCGGATTCAAAGGAAGCGTGGCCCACGCACTGGTCGAAATCGTTTCACCTCAAACCGCCAACGCTATAGGCATTCCACTACCGATTGTTCGATGCACAGTAGTTTTTATTAACCTCTTCTATGTGATCTTCATTGGACTGACGATGGCACCGTTACTGCGAATCTATAAGCTTCTTTCGTCGGAGACTGCACGGCTGAGTCTCTTTGAAACTCTTAATGATCGTGTTATGCTCTCGGCTTGCAACGCCATGGCAGATGTGGTGGGGCATCATCACAGTGCACTTCGGACGACAATGGTAAAATTCTACAAAAGGTTGGTTTTAAGTTATTTTAGTTCTCTCCGAGTTTTCTTTATCTTTGAAAGCTAGCATCTTCTTCATTAATGTCTGATATTTATCTATTGCCTGTTAATTAACAGGTTTTGTGTCTTCAGCAAAGGCAGAATTTTTGTATACATTAGCTCTTGTCTGATAAGTTAACTGAAGTGGCCACTTTACTTATATTAAGATCTTATTCATAACACAGTGAACACCCATTTATGCAAATATCTTTGATCATTATTACAATAAGCTGTAGGTCCAGATAATATAGTTTGGGGCTGATGACATATAATGTACTTAATGCTACATGATCTGTCACTTCAAAGGTGGACTTTGGATGTTGTCCATAACATTTCTAATCACCTGTTTATTACCATACTTTAAGAGAAATTCGGCGCGAATCAGTATTGCATTTCCTTTTAAAGAGGGAAAACGTGCTAAAACCTCAATCTCAGTGAAAGCCAGGTTTCCTAAAACATTGACCTGTTACGCTATGAAAGAATTTTTGTTAGGAAGTGGAAGGATATTTCTTGTTAATAAAAACTTAGCGTACTACGTAGTAGTCCTATTTCGAAGAGACACATTAAAGATGTGAAAAGTTTAGCTTTTTATAAAACTCAAGGTAGGATTTGCGCATTTGCAGTTGTTTTTAGACTCTTCACCAACTTTGGCTGTTGTAAGTACTCCGAATTAGGCACACTTCATTTCACATCATTTATCCCAGTTTTTTTAATCGAATTCGGTAAATGTAGTGCTTTTTGCTTTGCAAGCAAGTTTAATACTACCCTTGGTAGTAGCAGCGCTTTTGGGAACTTAATATTCCTAACTGAACCAAAAAATACAGTGAATCAAAATTGCTTTTACGGATCTTCATTTTTATTAGCAAACTCATCTTTCTGTTTCTACTTTGCATTTTTTCTAATGAGCTCCTGTCTATAGTAAAAAGATAAATTGTATTTGGCACACCGTTTTTGCCTTTATTGTTTGTGTTCATTTGGTACAGTGCTCACTTCAAATGTCCAAATACATATTTGAAGCCGTGTTTCGGATTTAACGAACGATACGCATGCTAACATTTACAAAATATGAAATTTAGGAGTAACTAATTGATGTGTTGGACCTTTGTAGGCACCTGCGCCCCCTTCTGCTGCGTGCCCCGAACGAGCACGACGAGATCACCGACGTGTATGCGGACATCGCATTGGCCCTCCACCATGCTAGCGTGGCCAAAGACCGTCACTCTGTCCACTTTCATCTTCGCCGATTGCGTCCACAGCTCAAGAAGGCTTTTTACTTCCAGCAACGGCAGCAGGGCGTGCTCAGACCTCTTCATCATGTATCCTTGCATCACATCGATCTCATCTCCGACCCCACTGACATGAGTTTCACAGGCCAGTTGGAGAATCCTTCCCTCCACCCGCTATCACAGCAACGACAGTCTTTCGAGACTTTGGGAGATGCGCCTTCGTCTGAGGGCGTCGTAACAGCAGAGGTTGAGGGTTCGGAGGAGGAAGGAACCGCCGAGGAGGTTTTCTATGATGTCAAATGTGAAGGGGCGCCAGCTACCGAAACAGTTTTACCCAAGGGGTCAAATTCTAAAGGACATGGCAAGCAAAGGAAAAAGTCCTGTTGTAGATGTGATTTATCCCTAGATTCATCGGATTCCGATACGACTTCGGTGGTAAGTTGTACAGAGTTTCAAGGTAATATCTTGGTTTCCCCGACCGAAATTTTGATTTGGTTAGTTGAATTTTAAAAATACATGGAAGAAGGAGGTCGTGTTCAGAACCATATATACGTAGTTGAATGGAATTTGCGCTCGAAGCTCCCTTCGCCAATCTTCTAAAGCGCAGCACTCGGGGTTTTTAAGTGTTTGATCTGTGGCTGCCATTTCGCCATTTTTAAAATTTCCATAAGTCAAAACAGTTATTAGTTAAAAAATCAAAGTTCCTCACTAATCATTGATCAAATTTAGTGAGTAGAGAATTAATCAATTAGTTATGAGTATTTTACCACCAAATTGTAGTTTCTTAGCATTTCTCGAATTTAGTTTGGATAGAATTACGCAATTTCTAGCCGCTTTATCAAAACCACCGTCAATCTTACAAATGCGGTAGCTGAGAAATATGTATCAAGCTAACAGCATCAACCATTTTATCCTTCAGATTCCTTATCACGTCTGAAACGTTGATGTGGATTAAAAATAGTTCCGAATTGCAGTTGAATCACATTCATGTCGTAGCTTTAGCGAATCAGAAACAAAATGAAAGCCTCTGCCTGTAATAAGCCCATTGCCTTCAGTCATTGCATTATATAAAAATTCACAAATTTTGATTTAGATATGAGAGTAAATTACACCACCTAATACCTTCTCATAAAGAATCATTTTCATAACTAAATTAAGCCTCTAACCTCCAATTCCTACGTTGTGTCTTGACGTAACAAGACAAAGTGAATAACTTGAGGAGGGTTAACAATGTCTATTGTCTGATTTTGGACGTGATTAATAGGACAGTTTTCTTTAAGGGTGTGGCGTATAGGCTGGCGGTGGATTCGATGGTCTGAGTTTTGGGACTGACTGAAGAGTCGGTCCTTGCACCTCACCTCTGCCGATTATGTGGATCACCACTGCGACTAGTTCAAGTCTTCGCTTACCTTGAATTTATTTGGAAACAGTTTTTACATGTTTACTTAGGGGTTTAATTGCATCTTTGAAAGTTGGCAATTTGTCGGACTGCAAATGTTTGGCGGAATTTTTTGCATTGCTTGTAGCTTGTCATGCGGGTCGCCGGATCTTGGTGTCTTGCTGTCCTCGTGACTGTCACCTTATTTATCTGTCACAGTTTGGTATATGGCACTGCTATATTGGCAAACGAGCAAATATATTTCTGTGGTTTCGCTGTAAAAAGTTCACGCATATACAAATAAATCATTCGTTTCCGCTACCAAACTGCCATTGCTCTAATACAGCGATGTCCAAGAAGGAACTGCGTAATCTTCAGTAGGGGTTACTTCATAAAAAAAACAATGAATGCCGATGGAGTAGGCACCATTGCTTATCACTCTGGAGTTCAATCACCCCTTTCGGATCAAGATTTGTATTTATTGTAAGCCTCGCTAATCAGATGCAATGGCATCAAATCCAGCCTAACCAATCTGGATAGAGATATATGGAGGTCCTTATGCTTAATCTTGCTTGATTTTCAACTTATTTTCTTTTATTTTAAGAGAAACCGAATTTAAGGAGCTGTTATGCTATTTCAGATTAGGGTACAAAACGTATTTATTTGCTCTTATTTTCAAGAAGCTAAAGAACACGGCTAGTGCTAACGTTTCTTTTTCATCTTTTGCTTGTAACTCCTCGTCTGTTTGTTCAATTCTTTCTTTGTTTACCCCATTTCCCTTCTGCCTTTCAAATGCAGGCGTAGCACAGCCCTAAACTTCCATTACACGATAGTTGTTCATAGTCAAACTTGTGACAGACTCGAGTGACCGAAATGACGGACGCAAAAGCGTCTCAAAAAGGGAACCATGCAGTGTGCCGTTATCAAGTGATTGACCAGTGCCCTGGGAGTGCACGCTGGCTGTGTGTGACCCCCTCGGAACCACTTGCGATCTGAGTCACAAAGGGCGTGTAGTGTAAGTCCTAATAAGGCGCCTTTGTTAATCATTACTGGAGGTATCTTCTCCATTCCCATCGGTAGGACTTATTTGTATGCTTTATTAATTGGCTTAACTTTCATATCGTACCGAGGGTTTATCTTCATCACCGGATTAGCTGCGGTTGTGGCCACCCCTCACCTCACTGACCTCAGCGGTCAGAGAAAAACCACCTAATTTTTTTATCGAGCAATTCAGGTAACCTGGTTTCGATTTTGGTATACTTTTAAAAATAGTAAACCTCGGCTAAGGTAGGTTTCCCCGTTGCATTTGCGAGCCTGATAACTGTGGAAGATGATACAGCGCTTCCTAATACTCCGCTTAACAAATCCGCTATGCCTGGCGATTGTTTACTATCTCGATGATTAGAAATGATTAACACGTCGGCACAAAAATTGTTAGCAGCGCTTTTTATTGAAGTATACCAATAGCATTGACCAAGTGATGAAAGTATTCCACATTTGTTACTGAAGCGTTATAGTAGAAGGTTTGTTTTATCGAATGAATTGCTATCAAAAGCAGGGTCGAGACGTGTGACTGTCAAGTTGATGGTCTGAAAAGGATTTCATGCAGTTTTTCTTATCATACCAGTCCACTGAGGTTTAATACATTATTAAGGAAGATACTTACTACATTTTAATTTCACTGGATAAATTGGTCAGCGTACCAACACGATTGGTATCAGCGTCTCTCCTTACCTGAGTCAAATCAAGAGGAAATGTAGCAGACTGGAAATGAAAGGTGAAGTTTAATAAAGAGTGGTGTCGTATGAAAAGAATGCAGCAACTGTGCTGCGGTGGTTAATTTTCCCCCCATGACAGACTCTTATGTCAAATGTGCTGATGGTAGTTCCTGCTAGAAACCAGTAGTTTTATGCGCTCCTATGTGATTCGTATTAAAGGATTTTATTACCATATAAATATTCAGTGTAATAAACATTGAAGCTCTATTTGAAAACTTTTGGTTTACAAAAAGTTGCAGCAGTACTACGGCCTTTATGAAAAATCGCGCAATCTTTTACGGAGTAAAACTCGGAATCTTGCTCAAGCATTTGACGGTTACCACATGAAATCCACTTATTTGGCAGCATTTGCGAATTATTACCCTTTGATCAAACAATTTTGTTGATTTGTGTTTTGTAGAAATCCATTTCCACACCGATCAAACTGTAAAGGCATGGTACTAGTCTGTCCATAACATGACCATTGTCACGATGCTGGTCGTGATCACGACATGCAAATTTTATAGCTTAGCCATGCAAAAAAAGTTTTGCTCAGCTACTCTTAAACTTAGAACTTTACTCATATTTTGCAAACCGTTAAAGGGAATTTGTCTGTGACTTATTTAAGCTACGAAAAATACCATAGCAACCAACTTTTTAACTCCAAGCGCGTATGGGACTGTGCTGTGTGTACGTCCTTGCCATACAGCCTTTTCAAAAAGCTGAAAGTAGGGGTGCAGTAAGCCTTTTTCGCAAATTCCCTTCCACCTTTCAACTGACGCAGACTATCCTCCTTTTTTGCATCTTTCCCAGACAATCATATAATGGAGTAAATTTTATTGCATTTAATAAGGGAAAAAAGAAATTGACCACCTTCAATTGAGTATCGTGATGTCCCAAATGCGATTTGTTTTCCTTAGGGAGGAGAGTAAAGCACTACTCCCCCTGTTAATGGGTGGAGATAATAAAGTGATGCACCACGCACTTCAACTTCATTGTGCGAGAGCAGTGATAACGAGAACCTAATTTAATGGAACTTCAACTTGAAAAGCATTTCTTCGCAGCAGTGGCATTACATATTTAGTTGAGCACTGGGAAGAGATGAAATGAAAGAAACGAGTAGCAATGAGAAGAGATGAGTTTCAATAAATATCACTGACTGGTTTTCAGAGTAGAATGCACTTTTTCAAACATTATCTATTTTTTGAGTTTCGGCTTCAAACTTAATGGGTGCATCTTTTCATAGCATTGGCCTATACGCATAACGGTCTACTAATCACTGTCTGCTAATCGTTTTGTATGTTGTTAGACCTAGACTCATCACTTTGGTGGTCTGTAGCCTAGTAACGCTGGCATGTCCACTACCCTAGACGAATTCACCGGCAAGCATTAATTTCTAAGTTACATTAAGATTTAAGTAGTTGCCTAAATTAAAAAATCCTGCCTTTGATACCCAGTTGCTTTACGGGCACAAAAATTCGTCTTTGCCCTCTATTAAAATTTCCTTTGTAGGAAATCATCCCATTTTGCATCACTGCTTTTCCGATTGTGTTACGTAGATACAAATATGGAATAATTTTGTTCGGCCACGAAGTATATTCTTAAAGCATAAAAAGCCCGTTAAATATGGGATCAAGTGGGAAAGGGCCTGTTAAAAAGACAAAACAGAGTAGGATGTGGATAAGATGCCAGTGTCAGATGTTGAGTTAATCCCACTAATATCTTTACTCAGAGTTTCCCTCCTTTTTTATTAGCCCCATAAAGCATAAACAATTCCCGGTGTTGAAGAGCCCTCTCTGTGTTATGCCTTGCAGGACGTGGCGGGAGGTGACGTTGGCCCTTCCGCTAATGCGATTAGGCGTGACGAAGAGGGCCTTTTTCGTCAACTCCTCTCCCGTCACAACCAACACACTTACGCCTTCGACGAGAGCGCCTTCGCTGAACTCGTCCAGCAGTCCATTCAGAGCAAACATCGCGCTCTAAAGTTTCATCATAATCACAGGATTTAGCCGGTTTGTATGTGTGACTGTATAAATAAAATGTTACGAAAAAGCTAGCATTTGCTTATTCAAGGTTATTCCGACTATGAGTTTGTGGTTCTTTTTTCATTTACAAAGACATCGAAACGCCCCACACCTTTTTATACGTCCCAGAACAATAAAGAGCGCAGTATTTTTGTTAGGACTTCTTAACACAATTGCTGTTAAAAAGTGCACCATCGCAGTTTTGATATTTTATTTTTTCTAGCATACTACCGAATCTTGCACTACTCAACTGATCAGTCTAACTGCTGAACATAAAAGTTTACGACCTGTCGCTATTGCTTTAAGGCTAATAACTTATCCAAAACATAATTTTATGTAACCAGTGATACCTCATAAACTGATAGGGGCGCATATCACGTATGTGTGACACTGGGTCCGGGCAAACACTGCCTTTAGACGGTGATAAAGAAAAGCCATCAAAGGTAACAAAGATTTTTCCATTAAAAGGGCGTTCTATAGGTAAGACGATTGTATTTGAGTGGCTTTTGTCCTGTGCACGTGCGGCATGCTTTTTGAGCGTTTCTTTTACTCCAAAGCAAAATTGCTGTCACTAGCCAACACCCCTAGAGTGTGATAGGAATTACTTAACCTAAGTTAAAGAGACTAAGTGATATTCTCATGGAATGTCGCATTGTAAGGGAGTCTGTAGGATTTCTCGTAGCACTGCTGTTTCAACCGACAACTTTAATTCCCTTAATGATGAGCTATGATTCCTTGTGAAAGGTCCGGCTATTGAGAGGTGGTTTCATTCCTCCGAGACACGCGAGATGTTCAAGTCAACGTTTGCCAAAGACTTGGGGAGAGTTTCCTTCTCTTCGTCAGTAAACTTTCCAATGCCTTTCAAAAGCACAAAACTGTTCTAAAATCGCTCACGAATGTTGGTAAAGGGTTATGTGTACCATTTTACAAACCAATTTGTCTTTTGTCGAATTCTATGATGGGTCGTGCGTTTATCAGTTTGTGGATTGGCAACCGCCACCCCCAAGCTAGTCACTGACAGAAGGTCGACGGTCTCGATTAAATTTTCACCATTCAAATGTCCTGCTGCTGGGCATCTGGGTATCCTATAACCACACCTTACTGCACCTAGAGGCTTTTGTAAGGGTAGATATTATCGTCTTTTACACCTTTATTTGCGAGAAACTTTACGTACCACCACACACTGTCATTTGATCTCTGAATTTACGTGTGTGGACTACGGCAGGATATTTGCGCCGGCTCTTATGATTAACAATATAACAGGTGTGCCTTTTGTACCACAAATCTTGATTGGACTTGAACATTCTGCATAAATCAGTGTACGCCTATTTAAAACCCATTTTATAACCAACTCCCGAGGAGGGAGTACTTTCTTTTCAGATCAGGCGCGGTGTCCTTGCAAAAGGCCAATTAGTTTTCAGTGTTGCAGAACTGCTGATTCGAGGTTCTTTGATGTGCCCAAAAATAGGGCCACCTTTGAACATTGCCTTGCTGCAAGCAAACGGAAATGGACATTATTATTGCAGTAATGGTCGAACTAGGCTAACCGAACAGGCAGATGCACTTTTTCCCATTTCAATAGCTGCGGGGATGGACGCAGGAATCCCCTCGTGTGGTGAGCAAGCCGTCATGGACTAACGGTTCGGGTGATGCGATCCTTCAGTGTGGGGTAAGATTAGAAAAAATAAATATTACTTCCCTTGTTTTCATTAAGTAAAATAGCTAAGATGTTTTTCATGTCTTACGTAAATTTGTCTGTTATTAAACTATGAAATTTTCAGTGTGTATTACTGGCTACATACAGTCTAGGTGTGTCGGTAAGGAAATTAACTAGCAACAAGCTGTGACAGACGGGAGAAGTACATCAGTTAGTAGACTACTTATGAATGAGTATAATTACCCCTAATTTGATCCATATAATTTCTCTCTGATCAAGTAAAATTAGTAACGATCTATGGAGACATAGTCTAGCATATTTTGTACACCGCGACGCCGCTTGAGTGCCCTTTTGTCCAGTTTTGGTGTGAGAAGCATAGTGTTTCGAGTCGTAGTGTCGAAAAGGGTTTATTATGTGGGCTTACAGAAGGAATTGGAGAGTGTTTGTATATCATGGAATCCCGGAAACGGAAGAACTCGAGTAGTCGAGCATAGAGATACGTTAAACGTATTTTACTACAGGGCAACTTCTTGCTTTTAGTGTTATCTCTGGTGCTCTAAGAAGTGCTTCTCTCGCTTTGGGTGTACCGGGTCATCCGGTGAACAGTAAATGATCCTCGGAAAAGGTCATAACTCAAGTTCCCAAATAAGATGTTGTTTGCGAGGCAAATTGCGCTGGAGCGAGACTAGCAGATTGGTGGTCCCAAATGCTATAGGCTTATACCATGATGCAAGTCATTGCCCATTGCAGTCAAAAGCACTTTCGCCCCTTACACGTTTGCCCCAAGTTGTTTCGGATCCAATTCATTCAGTTATTTTCTATCGTGGACAACTTAGGACTTGAGGATCTCCCCGCAGTTAATATTAGATCCGGTCGGTTTCGGTATTGAGAGCTTCCTCGCCCTCCCCGTCATACATAGCACACACCTTCCTTCTGGGCTATTTAGGTGTCGTAGTCGGCAACTTTGATTAGGAGTCCAGAGCCCTGTCATCGACTTGACGCCCTGATTAGTCTCTGAAGAAGCGATCGGGGATGATTGGGTGGCTATAGACGTCATGATGCAGAGATGGTGAATGAGTCGGGGAATTGGAACAGTTCACGCGTCCTAATGTACGACTAAAGCAAATATTGCCCCCTCACAGTCTGCCAAGTACCGGACCGAAAATTTGTTGTACTATTTTTCTGAGCCTTTACGATTAGGCTGAACAGCGACACTGTCTCCAAGGTAACAGTACACCTACTGTACCGAAATAATCCTTTCGTCACTCGTAAGTTGCCGCTAACCATGAGGCCAAGACTAGTATTTGGCTCTAACCGCTAACAAGGGGAACGCCCACGGTCTTCTTCTGCCCAGAGGCCACACCCTGCAGTAAAACAGTTAATGTCGACGTCGGTCAGCGTTCGCCTTCAACTAGCGTCACGAGAATGCAATGTCCTAACTCCCCTACCAAGGCCAGGCGTCACAAATGTGTGACGTTATCTCTGGAAGTTTGTGCTAGATAAGTGGCTGCACAAAATCCCTTTTTTTTTCAGAGATTTAGTTGAGTTTAAAATAAGGAAGGCAAAATTAAGAACTCTATTGGTTCGAGGATAAGTACATGATTTTTTTTGCTGCTTTTGAGTGGCAGTTGGAGTGGCCAGTTCATTGGTGCAGGTGTTGGTGGTATTAGTAGAACAACGCGGCACATCTGGCGTTGTGGCGACTGATTCTCCTCTGGGACTTGCCAGCAGCAAGCGTGCTTGTTCAACTTGTTTACAGATTTAGCCCTTTTTTAACTGTCACAGAGCTTTCTTCCTACTAGCAATTGAAGGTTGTGGGATGGGGATTAGCGCATTTGGCACTGATTGTAAGCCAAGTTTTCGGGAGAAGTGTTTTTTGCATCGGAAGCGTAACTACCTTGCTAAATTAGTAATGTATGCCACTCCCACGCGTCTGTTGGTGCTGGATGTAAAAAAAGGTGTTTTTTACGCTCGTCGAGTCCTACTAGGAGTTCCTGCGATTTTAAGACAGCGCTGATAAACACGAAACCTAAAGACAAACATTCCTCTTTTATTGTAAGCACCATGAGCAACTCCTCCGCATAGTTAGCATAACCGGCAGTGTTGTACAGCGCCTCGAGATTTCCCTGATAATGAATGAAGACATAACGAGGGTGGAGTATGTATTGCTGACAGAAGTACAAAGGCGTGGCTTAAGTGCTCGCGAAACCAAACTGATGAGTTCGGCAAGCAGTCGTGGGAGTGTGCTTATCGAAAGAAAGAGATGTGAATTATAATTGAGTTCCAGTTTATACCTGATGGATGCTACCAAGAGAAGTCAACACGGTGCAGTCCAAATTCATTAACTTTGTGAGAATACCGCCAAGGACGTTAAAATTTAGATGATTTAGGTAAATGCATTCTGAGGTGATGAATATCTTACGTTTATTCGTAGCTATGGAGCAAATCCCTGTTTTACAAAGCATCAGATTTTTTCTTGGTCAAGCAGCGCAAAACACGGTTTATGACGTCGACTTTCTTCGCGGCGCAGCGTAAGCGTTCCTATTCAGGGTTGCGAAATGGTTTCTTTACATCAATGTGTGTAGCAATAGTGATTATGAATGATTAACTAATGTTTAGTTTACTTCCACATACTTACTTGAATGACATTACTTTCAAAGGATGAAGTGTCAGACAATCGCTAGGAATTTCTGCTGATTCCCTACTACATTTCCGGGACAATGGAACACCTTCACCGCATTTATTATAATAATTAAATAATGGGATTGTGTGGTTTGCTACTCTTTAAATAGTAAGCAAATAATGAGTTCAGAGTGTATTTAATTCGATGAAAAGTAGTTTTCAAATGCCATTCACTGAATGGGAAATTCTCCAGCCACATTTTTGCGAATTAGCACAGCGAAATCATTTACTTTTACCGAAATAGAATAAGGTAGTAGGCTATTTTAGCATAGCCTTTTAAAACGTACTTTGTATTTGCCCTATATTATTTGGACAAATATTTTACACACGTTTGACCTAAGATGCATGCGATGCCCCTATTGGCTACTGCACTTTGGTGGGGAGCCTCAAAACGTAGGTTTCGCAGTCACTTATTGTCATTTGTCGGTTCGCCTCATTAGTTTTCGTTGCTTCAAAAATCCTAATGACATGCATGATGATTCACTGCTAGAATTATGACATCGTATTTGTTTTCGCAAATGCTCTTGAGTTTTGAGGCAGGTTTGGCAATGGCTGCCAGGAAGAATACCGTTTTTCAAGATGGATGTGCTAGTAAAAAAGTGCGAAAGTCAGGCTCATTAATCAGAAAACTACTTGAAAATGTCAT